ATGTTCAGCCAAAGCATTAAGTTATAAAAAAAATGGACGTAAAACCGTGAGCGCGGATTCCAGGTCAACGCAAAGAATAAAAATCCATTTACCAGATCTCAAATCTTTTATTTGTAGCTGTTCTCCATCAGAGGTTTTCGTATAATTCAGAACTATAATGGAATACGACGTAATCGAAAATGTGTGAAAAATCTTTGTGTTTTACTGTACCTCTCCATATGGATGTGTTTGGTTGGATTTGAATCGTTTGTTTCACATCTCAGGGATGAGTAGTTATTAAATGGAAGTAAATAAAATAAAAAAGATGAAACGAAAAGATGAGATAAAAAGCAGCTTGAAGATGCTCTCGCACATACAAGGCTCGAATGAAAAGTAAAGGCGAGGTATTATGGATGGAGAAGACTAGGTTCGTGATGTAACGAGAGACGCTCGAGGCTAGTTTGGGTCTCATCCTCATCTCGGCAATTACAGAATTAAATTTGTATATATGGTAAATGTCGTACAGCTCTTGGTCTCTCTAATAATACATAATGTGGGCAGAGCAGTGTAGGAGAGAAACTACTAAACAACAAAAGCCAGAACTGTTTCAAATCGCCAGACCGTCCAACATCCAATTCGAATCGAATCTCTTTCAACATTCGACCATCTCGGTCTTTCTTCTTCTTGTTGTTGTTAATATAATTAATTTCGCATTCTATTGTCCACATAAACGTGTTTATAGACTAAGGACATTTGAATTACACAAAGAAATCCTGACATTTAAATTATTTATTTTATACTTTCTTCCCAATATTTATACATTAAACAACTTATTCAATAGAATATTCATAATACTAATAGAAATTAAGATTATTTCTTTATTAAGTATATACAAAATAATTGTTCTAATTAATTAGGAATACACGGATAAAACTCGTATTAATATATATGAAATTATATTTAAAGTTTATGCACCTGGAAGAATATGAATATTTATTAAAATCTGGATGAAAGGTGTTCCGTTGTACATATTCGTTACGTAATAAATATGTTTAATTTAATAAAAACCAAAAGCGCGCGGAAATTAAACTTTGCGCTTCCTTTGACCGCACAGAATTAATATAGGGAATGAAAACATCCGAGAGACTTTGAAATAATTCAGTATGTAATAATTGTTAGCTTTTCTCTCTTTATTAATACAAAAAAATAATTAATAAATATGAAATTCTATTGAGATTAATTAAGGAATGTAATGTAACATGTTGATGTACTAATGAAAATTTCTTAAAATGTTTGTTGACTAATAACTTTTTTTTTTATTTTGCTTAATCTTCAGTTTAAAATTTGTATTTTTTTGTTGGAAATTTTTGAGACTTTAATTTAATCAAATTCAAAATTAATCATTTACTGGAGATTAATAAGCTGAAAGTACCAATAACTCTTTGATTAATCATCTTTAAATTTTTCGAAATATTATGAAAAAATATGTTTGGTTTTGAAGTAGGAAAATGTAAAAATTTCTAATTTATACATTTTTTGGAAAAAAAAGTATTAGTATAACGGTTCTTCGTATTTCCTTAAAATCATTTGAGTCATAAAATCATTTATCGAAGATTAAGAAACTGAAAGCATCAATCATTGATCATCTCAGCAACTGGGAAATACCAAAGGCAGACTACTGGATGACTCGTTGATAAACTGCTATATTTTTTCTTGGAACCTTCCGAATGGCAATGAAACGTCCACCGTTGCGATAAAGTATATAATAATAGCAATAATTGTGCGATGATCTTCAGAACTCAAATGCTGTAAATCTGCGTTTCTCAACATACATGTTTGTAGTGTGGGTCGCACACCAGTTCACCAGTTCCTTGCAATGACACAAGAGAAAAAAATATAAATAACTTCTGTAAATCAACAAATAATGTTGTCCATGAAATAGAAATGTACTCAGATGGAGTTGTCACACTTTGCGTTTTCCTTCACAGTGGATTTTATTAGTTATAGTTACATTAGAGAGAGATCTTTAGCTGCTAATGTATTAAAGTGCACTCAAGTCCCTCGTTCGGATGTCGCGAATTATGCAAAGCTTCCAGCAGTTCGCCTCTAATGCACATATATTCTCCACAAAGTATTTTATTTCACAGCCGAATTCTATGCATGAATTTATTTCCGCATTCAAATTTTCCGAGAGAACTGCATTCTGATTCTGCATTCCTACCGGATTATTTTAAAACTGTGATAATAAAACTAAACATTGTGATTAGTGAAAAGAGGATTATAATTTTCACAAAAGCTCAAATACAGAAAAATTCATTACATAAACTCTAGTTCTAATCTGAAATGAAACTTGACTACATTTATTTAGAAATTAAACTGTTTAAAATATAAATAAATTAAAAATAATTATGTAATAATATGAGTTTACCTAAGCTGATTATTAATTTAAAATATATATTATTTATTAACAACAATAATAACAGAATGTATTTTTAAAATCAACAATATTGTTACATAATATATACTAATGAATATCCATACCTCTGGGATTTACCCGCTTTTACAAGTGCTCTAATGCATGAATTATATATTACAATAATCCAGTTCTCTCCTTTTCCGTGTTTATTTTCCAAGCGCGAGGACGGAGCGCATTACGAATTAAATCCAATTCGCAATTAGCCAAGGTAATTAGGATAATGGGTTTAAGCGCATACCTGTTTCCCTTTCACCGCAGTTTGGGTATTCGTCAAATATGTACAAAAACAATGAGCATTATACACACACGCACATATATTTATTTATATATAATTGTGAGTGTATACTTGGCGTGTCTCCCTCGAGTAGACATCGAATTATGTAATTTTCGCTTTTGTCTTACTCTTTTTCCACCCCTTTATTATTGTAATTTTGGACAAGCTCGAATCTCGGTAGGAAATGTTGTATTCAAATACCACATTCAAGTTAATAACGACACATCTTAGAACTATTTAGTATTTCTACATTTAAAGAAGACGTAATTTGGAAGAAAGAAATATACAGTAACAAAAATAAAGACACGTAATAATATTGCAAATTTATACAACTAAAATGAAATTTCAATGGAACTTTCAAAATATTTAAAAATGCGTATAATATACAATTTTTTAAAATTTCAATTATTGTAGTTCTTTATAAATTTCATAAGAACCTCAATTATTTGTAAATTTTCACTTATTTTTTTGTTACATCATGTATAATATAGATACAAAATAGTAGACAATATTTGTATCTATCTAAAAATGTAATTTATATTTTTTTTTTAAATGAAACTTCAGATCTAATATTAGTTATCATTTTAAAAATAAAACTTTACGAATAGAAAACGTCCGAATTCTTTCCACAACAACGGTTACGCTGTGTAACGAATTAATTAACACTGTTCAACTAAATAGGTTTGTACTGCTGCACTATTCTGCGGTCCATTTACTACTTTTTTTTCTCTCTAATTATAATTTAATTGGGCTGTGAAGAATCCACGCTCCCAAAATAATAAATGGTGGCATGTTAATATTTTTGTTCTAATTAATTTATTCTCTCTTATTTTCTGCTGGCGGTTTAAGTAATTAAATATATTCTATTTCACATGATAACAGTATTAAACAATAAAAAAAAATAGAGCAGAACCATAAAAAAATCGTCTCCAGAGGTGACAAATCCAAGAAATGACAATGGACAAACTATTTAATTGCATTTATTCGTATTCTCTTTTTTTAGATTCAAACAAAATTTACAACATAGACCATTAAAAAAATAATTATATGAAAAAGATTTGTTAATAAATTTCAAATTTATGATGATTAATAGAATGTTATCATCCTACGCAAACAGGAAGAATAGATATAATAAATGTTGGATAACCCAGTGACATGTTTCATTTAGTGCGTTTATTTATTTTTCTTCGTGCATGAATCATACATTTTTTTTTTAACAGTTTGTTTTTCTCAATAATACTATTGATCATATCTAGCAAAGAGAGATCCAATGCTGCCCACCTGGGGTACGGCCAATTCTCTCGAGCACGTGCAGATTCATTGCGTTATGACCGGATGGTCAGCCTGGTCGCTTTGCAGCAGATCCTGCGGCCCCAACGCCGTTCAACAGAACCAGAGGAAGAGGCGAACCGTGTCTTCACAGGACGGAGGAACGTCCCTGCAGTTTACTTGCATGTCCCGAATAAAAAGAAATGCACCATCTGGATACATCCGGTGTTTATAATACTTTTCAAGTGATAGAATTATTTTCGAACGTCACACATATCTCAATATTTATTCTTATTTTCTTTTACTTTACAACCTCTCTCCATAATCGGAGATACTTAATTTAAGAATGTACTATATTTTATTATAATTTAACTCGAACATAAGATACGAGAATAGTAGATTAATTCATATTCGACGACAGTAGACGCAAAGTTTACTTTTGCAAAATTTAGAAGAAAAAGCCACTAGAAGACTGCCATAATAGAATTAAAAAGGTATGTAATCAGAGAAGAGAATTAATTAGGTATGTACCATAAATAATAAACTAATTACAGTGGAACCTGTATAATCCATTCCAAAATTTCTGAACTTTTACTTGTATAGTGAAACAAATTTCCATATAACTAATGTAAAAAACGATAATGCGTTTCCATATCGGAAAATAAAGCTATATGAAATAAATATGATTTTTCCAAACTTAAACTAGCTTTTATTTTCATGTGTCTTCTTTGTCTTACAGATTTTATTTATGCAATTTTCATTCGCATAAAAAAATCCACGTAAATCGAAAAATCTCGTAAATTCATAATCTTCATAAATGTAAAATGACGCATTATTTGAATTGAGTCAGTAATTGAGCAAAACAAGTTGGAAGGTAAAAAAAAGGTGATGTCATCAGGTTTTTCTTATAATTTATTACATATATGTATAAAAACAGATAGAATCAGCTGGTTCAATATGATTAATGTCCGATTAGGTTTTTTTTTGTTGTCGTGATGATGATCAGACGGTGTCAGTTTCGCAAACGTCTTGTTTGAAAACGAACTCATTGCTGTACGTTTTCTGACTTGAGCAACTTCGCTTGCAGGTGTAGACTAGCAGCACCCCTAAATCGAGTTCGTTCTCCTTGAGGACGGTCAGCAGCTGAGGCATAACTTGAAACTCGAACTGCCTCGGACCTCCGCACTGCTCGCAATCTGGTACAGCCTCAGGTTTCGGTTCCGAAGCGACCCAAAGAGGTTCTCCACCTCTCTCGTATCTCAGGATTTGCTCCGGATTGCAGGCGACGCGTTTCCGGAAGTTCGCAAAAACTTTGTCTTTCTCACAGGTGGCGAGTTCCTCGAGTTCAGCCTCCTCCGATTCCGGAAGAGTTCCGGTTCTGCCTTCGCCGACCAATCTGTTGTAGAGCTGCAACTGTCCCTCCTCGTTGACGACGCTCTTCTTATACTCCTCGCTCTCGTACTTGGTGAAGAGGATACTTGACAGCTTCGACGGTTTCGAAGGGTTGCCTCGCGCGTCCTTATGATGATCCTTCCTGTGAATGATCTGGTGATCGCTGGAGCACCAGGCTTTCTTCCTCTTTCTGTGGCGGTTCGTGGCTGTAGAAAGGATTCTTCCAGGACAACTGGTTGCGGAACACCCGCACGGTGTCGCTACGGTTTCTCTGGCAACAAGTGGCACTGCGACATAAGAATATGAAGATGGTTTTGTGGAAGTTGGCCGGATCGTCCTCGTGCGGCGCGTACACCTGGCACAAGAAGCACATCTGTTTCTCGCATTTCGGGCATTTTAGATCCTCGTAACTGGGAATATGCTCGTACGAGAGCCAGGCTTCTCGCCCACCTTACTCGGAAATTGGGCTCTCTGCACTCTTCATTTCTCGTGCACTTCCTCGCAGAAACCGACGTCCATCTGCGACGAAATCTCTTCGGACATTCTCTTTCTTCAAATTCGCTAACCACCGAAACGCACCTTCAACTCTCTAAACTCACGGGTTATGTTTACACATGCTTCAAGAAGTCAACAACCAGAAACATCAAAACATCAGCAACCTAGCGCCCTCTGCAGCTGCAAGATTCTACTCCGCATAGACAATACGATGACAGTTGGTTTCTAAAATAATATTTTAGGAGACCCGGAACGGTAGTTATAGTAGTGTTTAGCATAGTAATTTTAGTTTAATTTAGTTTTAGTTCAGTTAATAGTTTTTAGTGAAGTAGTATAGTTAAGAGGTCTTTAGGCTACCCCCAAGATGGGGGTAGACTCAGAAGGTGATCCGGCGATAGTCGTGTGTACAGAAGAAGGGATTACGTCCCTCTTAGACATTATTCACAAGATGAATAGTGTAATCGAAATAAATGAAGATGTGTCTGTCATACAGAGCATCAAATATAAAAAAGAACTTCAAACAGAACTAATAGCATTGGTGCAAGAAGGATCATATTCAGATTCAAACAATAAATCTATAGTGATATCGGACAAACTCAACGATCTTTTAATAAAAATTATTAAACAAAATCAAGATCCCCTTGTTCTCTATTCTCTACAAGATATAGCCCCTTTTGTGGTTCAACTCGAACCAGTGGTTCCTAATATATCACTGTGCCCTTTGCAAATGAGTAGGAAGATTGATAAATACAAAATTGCACAGGTTACAAAAATAGACGGTAGTGGAAGAAATAGAGCGGCAACGTTTAAAACTGGGTTATCGGCGAATAATTTTTTAAATCCCTCCATTTATATTAAACAATGCCTTAAAGCTTATATACCTTCTCATCTTGTCTCATCGAAGGGCATAATTCGAAATATTCGTAGAGGACGCGGTTCCCAGGATAATACAACCATTCTGGCGGATATATATAGTGCCTTTGCTCAAAACCACTCAAAACTTGTTGCATGTTTTTTAGACATTAAGGCAGCATATGACAATGTGTCCATGGACATTTTAAAAGAAGTTTTAATCGGAAAAAACCTTCCATCGCTTTTAATAAATTGTGTGATGTCTCTATGTGGGGAAAGGACTGTTTCAATAGCAGGATTTGAACAAGAGAGTAGGAAATCGTATATTAGATTACCACAGGGTAGCCCCTTTAGATCTCTGCTTTTTCTTTTGTTTATTTGTGATGTTGATGTGCAATTGGTCGAAGGTGTTGATATCTTGGTCTACGCAGACGACATTGTCATTTATGGGACAGGACCGAATATATACATTGTTGCCACAAAGATAGATAGATGCCTAAGAAACCTAACTAGCTATCTGAAAACTAAAAATATAACTATTTCTCAAGAGAAAACAAAGGGAGTTCTATTTTACAGAGATACACCCAGTTACATGCCGCCTATCAATTTGGAGGGACGACAGGTGGAATGGGTGAAAGAAATTCTTGGGAGTTTGGCTTGATAGCAAACTTTCATGGAATAGACAACTATCCCAAACCCTTAAAATTTTAGCCCTTGATAGGATACAAAACAAGCCAATTAGGATTGCTCTTGGTATGATCAGCATAAGTCCCATCAACTCTCTACATGTGGAAGCCGGCGAAGTCCCGCTGAGCATTAATTCCTGGAAATGAAAGGGCAGATACTCTAGCCAGTGAGGGAAATATGGAAAGGAGAATGATGCAGTCTATTGCATATACCGATTTGTATCCAATTGTTATCAAGGACAAATGCGAAAAGTGGCAATACATATATACAGTAACGCATCAACTAATAAAGGAAAAATATACTTCGAGTGGAATGCAGTAGTAGGAACGAAACCGTGGTTCTTGAGAATGGGCTTCACTAAGAAACAAGTATCGACGTTGATTAGATTGCGATCTGGGCATGTCTGTCTGTTGATCGGCTTCTCAATTTTTCCGTATGAATCTTTTGGAATCTCCAGACTGTGTTTGTGGCATGATAGCCACTACAAATCATATATTTTTTAAATGCCGAAATAATAGTATGCATCAATTCAACAGGGCAGTGAATTGATATCAAACAATGTAAATCTCTCAACCTCAATAGATGTATTGCTAAGAATGGAAGACACCTTCCACATTGTGATAAGAATCGCTGGGTCCCGGTTCGTGAAGAGTTCCTATATGTTTGTTTTTTTGAGTTACATATATGTGCATTTAATGTTTATTTTATCTTATTCAGTATTTAATACGGCATCATGCACCCCGTCGTGCGAGCTCCTTTTCAGAGTGGAAGAAACAGAAATCTTTCTTAAATAAATAAACTTAAATAAAGATAATCCCAGGCAAATTCTCAGGCACTGGTTCTGTATTCTATCTAGCTGAGCCAGGAGCGCTCTGGAGCAGAACGAATACAGTCCACATGCATAGTCCATTCTAGACAAC